AGAACTCTAAGCACCTGAGAAAGAACCTCCCATAACATTGCGTTGTGCCATGCCCAACAGAAATAACCCAGGTTGATAACATTTACAATCAGGAGCTCCTCAGTTGCTCATTCCACCACTGAATTTACAATGACTTATGGGTAGAAAAGCCATACTAAGTAATTTACTACACTGCACCCTCCCACCTTCAGTAACCAAAAAAGAAAGTTTCCTTCCATATATAAACCTTGTCTTGACTTTTTACAACAATGAACTAATATAATATTTGTCCTTCTGTGATTGACTTATTTCACTTAGCATAATGTCCCCCAAGTTCATCTGTATTATGCAGTGTTTTATAGATTCTGTGTTATTCTTTAGGGTTGCATAGTATTCCATTGTGTGTATGTGCCATAGTTTGGTTATCCATTCTTCTGTTGATGGGCACCTAGGTTGTTTCCATATTTTTGCTATTACAGACAGTGGTGCAGTGAACATGGATGTGCATGTATCTGTTCTTGTCCTGGCTCTCACTTCTTTAGGATATATACTTAGTAATGGGATTGCTGGGTCAAATGGTATTTCTAATTCCAACTTTGTAAGGAATCGCCACACTGCTTTCCACAGTGGTTGTATCATTTGACAGTCCCACCAGCAGTGTATGAGAGTCCCAACATCTCCACATCCTCACCAGCATTTGTTATTTTCTGTCTTGTTGAACTTGCTACTAGTGCTGGGGCATGGTGATATTCATTGTTGTTTTGATTTGCATCTCTCTAATGGCTAATGATCGTGAACATTTCTTCATGTATTTGTTGGCCACCTGAATATCCTATTTGGTGAAATGTCTATTCATGTCTTCTGCTCATTTTTTAATTGTATTTTTTGTCATTTTGTTGTTGAGGTCTATAAATTTTAGAGATAAGTCCATTGTCAGATACGTCATTGCTGAGTATTTTTTCCCAATCTATAGGTTTTCTTTTGACTCTTTTGGAGAAGTCTTTGGAAGCACATATAAATTTAATTTTTAGAAGGTCCCATTCATGTAGTTTATCTTCTGCTGTTTGTGTACTTTGGGTTATGCTTGATAGTCTATTTATGGCATATATTAGGGAAGGCTGGCCTATCTTATAAAAATCTTGTAATCATGAATGTATAAAAGCCAGAATTACACATAAAACTGCTGTGTGATTTACATAGCTATTTTTTTAACAGCTTTAATTTACATACCATGAAGTTTACACATTTTAGGTATATATTTCAATGACTTTTTTGAAAATTGACAGAGTTGTACAACCATGTTCTAATGTTAGAACATTTCCATCACCCCAAAAAAATCACTTGTACCTATTTGCAATCACTCCCTATTTGTACCTGCCAACCCAGACCATGACTAATAAACTTTTTGTTTCTATAGATTTCCCTTTTCTGGATAGTCATATAATGGAATCATATAACATGGGGTCTTTGGCATCTTACTATTTTCATTTAGTATACTACAATGCTTTTTAAGTTCATCCCTTTCTTTTTATGGCTGATAATATTCCATTGTGTGAATATACCACATTTTGTTTATCCATTCATCAGTTGATTGATGTTTGGTTTACTTTGAGTTTTTGGCTATTATGAATAATGTTGCTATGAAGATTCATATACAAGGTTTTGTATGTTTTCAGTTCTCTTGGGTATAAACCTAGGATTGGAATTGCTGGGTTATAGATGTGGAAACTGCCAAACTGCTTTCCAAAGTGGTTGTACCATTTTACCTTCCCATTAGTAGTGTATAAAGGTTTTATTTCTCCACATCCTCACCAACAGTATTAGTGTTATAATCATTTTCCTGGGGGTAGTTTTGATTTTAATTTTCCTAGTGACTAATGATGATCATTTTTTCATGATCTTATTGCCCATTTGTTTATGTTTGTTGAAATATCTATTCATATCCTTTGTCCATTTTTTAATTGGGTCATTTGTTTTCTTGTTCTTGAGTTATAGGAGTATTTTTTATATATTCTGCCTATAAGTCCTTTATCACATATATGGTACACAAATATTTTCTTCTATTCTGGGAGTTTCGGAAGGAAGGTTGGGCAATATACTTCCATAGTGATATTGCCTTGGAAACCCAAGGAGGGGTCGCTATGAGTTGGGTCCAACTCAACAGCACATAACAACAACATTCTGGAAGTTGTGAGAAATCTTTTTTAGTTTCTTTCAGCAATTGTGTAATTTTCAGTGCATAAGTCTTACACATCTTTTGTTAAATTTATTCCTCAGTATTTTATTCTTTTTGATGCTATTGTGAATTAAGATGTTTTCTTGATTTTATTTTCAAGACTATTCATTGCTGGCTTATAGAAATACAATTAATTTTCATCATTATGTATCCTGTGATCTTTCTAAACTTTTTAGTTCCAGTAAGTTTGTATGTGTGTGTGTTTGTGTGTGTTTCTTAAGATTGCCTATATACAGGATCATGTCATCGGCTAATAAGGTTTTATTTCTTCCTTTCTAAACTGCATACCTTTTGTTTCTTCTCCTTGCCTTATTCACTGGCTAGAACATTCAGTACAATCCTGAACAGAAGTCATGAGAGCAGATATCCTTTCCTTGTTTCTGATTCTAGGAGAAAAGCATTCAAATGTTCACCATTAAGTGTAATGTTAGTTTTGGTCTGTTTTTGTTGTTGTTGTTTATTTGTTTTTATAAATGCCAATTATAGATTGCAGAGCTTATCTTCTATTTTTAGTTTGCTGAAATTTTTGTCGTTAATGGCTGTTGACTTCTGTCAAATGCTCTTTCTATATTTATCAAGATGAGCAAGTTTATATCCTTTAGTCTATTAATATGATGTGAAACATTAATGATTTCAAATGTTAAACCAAACTTACATTCCTGTGATAAATCCCTCTTGGGCATATAATGTGCACTGTAGTCAGTAATTGTTTAATATGGCCCTTCTAGCCATAGTCCTCCATTTTGTGACACATTATAAATCTTAGCCTATGTACCTGTAGTTCTGGTCCCATTTTGGGGTAAGTTTTCTGTTGTGTTGTTAAGGGAGGATTGGGTGGGATGTATCTTGAGTCCTGCTTTGCCGGAAGGTCTGAAGGGTCTAACTCAAGTCACCACCGTCAGTTTCCTTTAAAATATATATGTGAATGCTCTAGCAAAGTTGGCTCTCTTGCTCTGAATCCTGCACCTAGTTCATCATTATCTCATCCACGGTTCTTGGGGGCTTGAGACAGCAGCCAGTCGTCTGACCCGCTGGTTTGGGTTCATCAGCCTCTGCAACCACATGAATGAGGAGAATCCTCCAAACCAACACCGAACCCATGGATTTGGAATTTGCCAGACTCCACAACCACATGAGCCATTTCCTTGGCAGTTCATGAGTTCTGTGAGACATTACAGCGAAATTAACCCTAAGACAGGAGGGAAAGTACCAGGGGAAGGAAAAAGAGTTGATGTTACAGATGACAGAGTGGTATAGTACTTTGAAAAAGTTGGACATTTGGGACATCTTTAACCTCTGCCTCATAGGAACCAGCCTTGTGCTAATCCTTCTAAAAGAAATTATTCAAGCAGTATGTAATTCTTTTTATATGTTGCTAGATTCAGTTTGCTAATATTTTGTTGAGGATTTTTGTTTCTAGATTCATGAAGAATGTTGGTCTGCAGTTTTATTTTCTTGTGGTATCTTTTCTTGGCTTTGGTATTGGAGTAACTAACACTAGCTTCATGAAATGAGTAAGAAAGTATTTCTGCCTCCATTTTCTGATAGAATTTATTAAAAGATTTATATTATTTCTTCTTTAAAGATTTGGTACAATTAACCAGATGAAGCCATCTGGGCCTGGGCTTTATTTTGTGTAAACGTTTTAAATTACTAATTTAATTTTCTTTACTAGGTCTACTCATATTTTCTATTTGTTTTTTAATGTCATCTCAGTAATTAGTATCTTTCTGGGATATTTACATTTCACAGCTTTTTGATGCTTCAGCATACATAATGGGCAAGGCTGATATTTAACTTCCACACTCCCATACAGTCATAATGGTTGTTATTTCCTACAAAGCTCCTGCCCCTCCTGCAGGCCTCCTAGATCTCCCCACAAATTAACACCCAAAGGTTTAACACCTGGAACCATAAGGGACCTTCAGAACCCAGCTCCAGCATAGCTGCCACCCATACAGAGTGGTTGACCCTCCCACCCCCTGCTATACCCATTAATTATTTTGAACATCACCCCTTGGAAATGAGAGATTGAGACCACACTTCAGATCTTTTCTTCCTCCTACTTTGATCTGGAGATAATCCTGTTCTTCAGCATTCTACTGGGCATGTCTGGCAAAGCAATAGCATCAATTGATTGAGGATGTCTGAATGGCAGTTGTGGGCAGTGATTGAGAGGTCTGGGAAGCTGAACCCAAGGCTGGCTGGGAAAAGGGTGGTGTGTGTGGTCCAGGCCGATTTCTAATGAAAATTTAATGCCCAGCTATGGCTATTACTAAGAAAAGAAAAGTGGCTGATGATAAGCGTGTAGCTCAAAGTAAGTAAACCAAAGAGTATGTATGTATTACCATACAATGCACCACACATTGAAACAGATACACATACCTACAAATGCTATTTTGGTCCTCTAATGCCACTCTAACAGAAAATACCACAAATGGGTGCCTCTATCACAGGAATTTATTCTTTTACAATTTAGGAGGCTAGAAGTCTGAGTTCAAAGTGTCAGCCCTAGGGTTTGGGTGAAGGCCCCTCAACCTTGGGTTTCAGCTGTGCGTCTAGCTGCTAGGCCACTGAAACTGGAGGCTTCTCTTAAGTCAGGTAGCTGC